AACCCCCATAAACAAATGATAAAAAGTTCCTAAAAAGAAAAAGCAAAAAGAGCGCTGCTAAGCTGCAACGCACCTTCAGGCGTGTTCATACACCTGGCGACACGTCATCTTCTGTAACTCACCGACACCAGGAACGCGGCCAGGGGGACCCACATTGCGTATGGATGTTTGAAGAAATTTGTCGACACACAAAGCTAAAGTCATGTTTATTTGCATGTGTCACCCCTCTTGTCCTCAACATTAAAAATTCTTTTTATTTCTTGTTGAAATAAAATAATACTAAATTTTTTGGCTTCTTTCTTTTCGATCTTTCCATGAAGATAGAATTTTCAGTTCCTCCCTGTTTCCATTGATTTTGACGCCAAAAAGTAGAATATAATAATAGTACAGTGATTTGGATTTTGGGTTGTGTAGATCCTAATTTATTTCCCATGATTTGCTCGGGATGTACAGTACTTTTGGCTATGTGTAGAAATAAGTGAAGCATATCCATTTTCGCCTGTGAAAAAGAAATTAGATGTCCTCTGCAGTTTCTGACTTTTTTTTTTTTTTTTTGGGGCAGCCAAATAGATAGTACTACAGATATCGGTGTACGGTTGGTGCGTTAAGACTAATAATAATAAAGAGCTATATGTACATTTACCTCCCTAGATTGAGCGTGTTTAGATAGGAAATTAAAATGGAATAACTTTTTTATTTTTTTTTTAAAAAATACTATAACATTTTTTGGGCGTGATGTATGTGGGATGAACATGTAGTTGAAAGATGTGTTTAAAATGCAGTTAAATAAATTTACAGAGTAATGAGTATCCAAACAGACTCGTAATAAGTATTATTGTCGTGTAATTTGAAAATAAAGAGAGAAAATTGGACTAATAATAATAACAATTAAGTATATCCTTTTTTGTTTTTTTGTTTTACAAGAACAAGACAATCAATTGAGCAATAATGTTATAGGCATTATTGTCTGAAACATAAATGATTTTATTTTTACTTTAGAGTTTAGACCGCATCAACTCCTTTCCCTTGCCTCCCCATTTATGAGCATCATCAATTCCTTTCCCCAGATCCCAATAGTATTATTGTCAAAAAATTACTTACTGGCAATACAGGTGAAAGAAATGAGTAGAAAAAGAAACCAAGAAAAGAAGTCCATTAATAAGCTACGGTTCTTGAAAGGATTACTCCAACTACTCAACTAGTGATTAAAGTTGACCACGTCGGTGATCAAGTACATGGAGTTATTGCTCCGAATAGCCAAAAAAAAAAAAAAAAGGGGACATGGAGTGGTCAATTGATTATACAAGAGCTATGAGTAGTAGTAGTAGCATTATTGTCTTTTTCTAGATATGCATGCTTAAAATAGACTAATTAAAAAAGCTACTGTAATTGTTAGTACCAGACAGTCATGGCCACAATTAATTGTGCTCGTAGCTTTTAATGATTTTACATAGTCCTTTGCTTAATTTTATTTTGTACGTCAAAAAACCCTGTGTGTGGGGAATACGACCTATGTGTAACTTGCAATAGTAGAAAAGTGGGAGAATGGAATCCAATTTTGCCCTGGTAGTCATGGCAAGCGATTCATGAGCCCAGGTTTCACTTAATACTCGCATAAGTTCCACATAATATGGAGTTTCATAGGAATAAGGAAAAAAGACCGAGGAGGGGACAGCCAACAACTGAAGACAAGTCATCCTCAGAAAAAGGGTTGGACTATTGGAGGATTCCTTGCATGGTACTAAATGCTTTGTAAGGGAGGAAGATTTTGTAATTTACAGAGAGGCAAAAGGGTTTTGCCTTTTTCTCTGTTTGGATTGACATTTGAATGTGTAATAAGAAGGTGGAGCCTTCCACCACCCTTTTACAGCCACCCTTTTAGCGGTAGGGTATCGCCACCGTAAAATCTGTAATTCCAGCGTCAAGTTTCTTTGGCTTCATTATTCATATACAGGAGATGAGCAGATAATAGATTCCAATTCATTTTTCCAAGCTTTTGAAGGCCCCAATATTCGTCTCGGTTATAGTTCTTCTACTCTTCTGTAATCGAGATGACACCAATATAGCAAGAACTTCAGGTTTGTTGTCTCCAACATGAATACATCCATCAAGTCTAATCCCATGTGAGGGCTCCTAAAGGAGTACTCCCATGTCTCCATCTTATTTGACCATGGGTATTCTCAAGGTGCTTGCTCTGCCGCATTTGGGTTGGGTAGAAATTCTCCATCCTATTAATCATTGATGGTATTACTAAGAAATTCTCCATCCGATTTTGTACATACTATTCAACAACTACTTAGTCAAGATGTACGTTGGATTGCAATTCCTAGATTAGTTTCTATTTTGTACCAAAGGAAAAAAAAAACTCCATAAACCATCATCTAAAAAATTTCACCTCGCAAGTCACTCTAGCGTACCAAAAAATACACTTATTGTCTGGTTGTTTCAAAAAGTTTTAGGCCTTGTCTGGATTGTGATTTTTTTGTAAATTTTTTTTTTATATTTTTTATGAACATAATTTTCATTATTTTTTTCTATCTCAGATATATCAAATCGTTACAGTACATTTTTCTATCAATCCAAACAAACCCGAATCGGTTCTCTTAACCCTGATCCAATCCCCCCGATTGAATCTTGACATAGATAATCCGTGTTATAACATCAATAAAGATGTCTCAATTTTAACACTTAGTTTTTTGGCTTTTAATTTCTTTCTTAGATTTTGAAACTAGCTCTTTTCATCCACCACCTTTTTTTTTTTCCCCTTTTCTCTTTTCATTTGGTAGAAGGTTTATTTATTTAAGACTTACCATGCAAAACAAAAACACATCATACATGTGCACATACGTGTGTGTGTGTGTGTGCGCATATGTGTTGTATTAGTTGTCATGCATAGGAGCGGGAAGTCCGGCGCCAGTTGGTGACATTTTTGTGAAATTTATTTTCGCGTAAAAATCCCCTCATTCGTTGTCTCCAATCTCCATCACCCCTAGGCCGCCCCCGATCTAGTACTACTGATCTACGTAACATGACATGATTAATACTTTTGTTTGGACAGCCAATTATTTGGCCAAATATATTTACTGACATCACCATTACAATTTCCAATACACCTTTTTATCTTCCCAATTATTTTTTTATCTCACATACATCACATCATAAAAAGTGCTACAGTAAAAATATTTCAAATAACTTACAATCCAAACACACTCACTAGTAGCTAATTATCCTAAGCCGTTAATCCAAATGCAGCTTTGCATCCACATCTGAATTTATGCTGATGATCCACCCTGAAGTCAATATCATCCCACATGGGTTTCCGCAGTCAATGTTTTACTACCAGTATTTAATTTAATGGCTTTTAGTATAAATGCTAGTGTTAGTACTTAATTTAATGCAGTGATTAATTCTTCATTAATGACAGTTTCCACGTCGATTAACTGTCTGATGGTAGCTTCTATACGCGCTTTAATAATTTTAATTTCACGCTTCTTGATACTAATCCTATTAAGAACGAGGGCTAAAACATATTATTTGTGCCCATTTAATACTCGTCAAAAAAAAATTAATTATTTGTGCCCATTTAATACTCGTCAAGAAAATCCTATTTCAATTTTCAATTTCACCCAAGCTCCGTCTTTGTCAAGGATAAACCACCCAAGTTTCGATTTAGAGTAAATGGTGAGAATGGTTACTAAATTATTTAAAACGGCATTGTCTAATTATCGAATTTTTTTTTAATAAAAAAGGCTACTTATCTCCTTAAAACAGGTCTTTTGGGCCATTTTTTGATAAATCAACCGGAAAAGAACTGAATTTTAGCCCTGAAAACTTACAACAACAGCAGGTCAAATGTGCTTTTCATTTTTTGTTGGTTTACTAGTTAAATCGGACAATATTACTCGAAAGGCTCGTTTCAGAAGTGAAGTCACTTTTTTAATTTAAAAAAAAATGAGTTTTGATGTCTGAAACGTGCTATTTTAAATAGTTTAGTGACAATTTTACTATTTACTCTTGGATTTATAAACAAGGTAAAATTTTAAGCGTCGATGAGGTTACTTTTTCGCATATACAAACTAGTAGAGAAATAAGTATTCAAAAGTGTAAACTTAATACTCATCAAATTTAATATCGTATTCTTTAGTGATAAATATTTACATGATGAATCTTTAGTTGATTTTATCACACTGCTGAATTAGATGAAATGGTAGAACTTTGTAGGCAACCATATGAGAGTGTTTGGATAGAAGATTATTTCACATAATATTTTATTTGTATCATAAACATATTTTTTAATTTATTTTTTTATAATATTATTATTTAATTTTTTATTTTACATGCCTTACGTCACAAAAAATATTATAATAATTATTCTAAATAATATTCTATTCCACTATTAGAACGCTTGAAACACTAGTTGCCCGACCCCTCGCATGGTCAGCTGAGCTAAATCTACCGTACTACTAGCAAACTCTAGTATTTTACTACAAAAGATGTAAAAAAAAAAAAAAAGATAAATACTTTTATACTAATAATTTTCATAATAAATTAATACGTGAGAACAATTTTTGTTTTCTAATGATGTGGTGAATAGTAGTAGATGCGTGAATCAATCTCGTCAAATGATGGCATCTCATGCTAGGAATAGGTATTGCACTTGCTGCCTATTTGGCTTCACGAGCCAGCCATGGTTTTGTGACCTGTGATTGGATTTGGATCCATACCGTACTTTAGTTGCCAGCCCCCAATTCTACGCACTACTATTTTTCTTGCTAGTTTCCGCTTTCCTATCTCTCTGCTCCTCTCTCTCTCAAGAATTCCACCCGCGTTTCAGACACACCCCAGACTCCAGAGAAAGACAAATAGATACATACGTACATTCATTCACCGATATATTTTGGATTGGGAGAGAGAGACTGAAAGCTGAAGGAGTGAGTGAGTTACTGCGTATTGTGTGTGTGTGTGTGTGAGAGAGAGAGAGAGAGAGAGAGAGAGAGAGAGAGAGAGAGAGAGACTGGGTGAGAAGAAGGGGAAGGAAATGAGGGTGGTGAGGTAAGAGAAGGGAAAGGACAAAATCTCGAGTTGAGGCAAATTCAAGCAAGAGAAGGGGAAACAAATAGACTGAAATTCAGGGGCTTAGATTGGGAGGTGTTTACTCATTTATCTGTCTTGTTGGATACATTAAGGTACTCTCTAAAGATTCTTACTTTCTGCAAACTTAGCTCGTGTAGAATTCGTTCTGTACTGATATTTGTCTTGTTCGTTGAAAAGATGGCGACTTCCATGGATGCAAATTAATGGGTTTTCCTTCAATTTGATTTTCTGAAGTTGCTTTAATTGGTTTTTGAGTAACTAAGCGAGCTGAAGTTCACCATAGTTGAACCACCTTTATTGTTCTTACTTGTTTGGTAAGGTAAGATCTCATTGATACTGGTGTACTTGGGATTTGTTGTCACCCCCTTAATAATCTCGTTTTAATGTTTTATTAGTTATGCAACCAATATTTCTACTAGACGTTTTACTTAGCTACTATTGTTACCAAAAACGAAGGTTGAATTTTTTGGCATATTTCTTCTCGGGTTAGTCAGTGGATCTAATTTGAAAATAGAGGATTAGATCTTGTTTCGGCTTCCCACTTGGCCGTTTTATTGTTTCCTGATATAATAAGTGCTCTATTAGTAATTTTTATCAAAAGGCATTTTAAAGTATGACTTGTTTACAGGGGATTTCAGGTGGGACAATGTCAAGGCCTCTCCATCGAGGTGGGGGGCGGTTTTCACCGAATAGCCATGGTATCTGGGATGATGATTCTCAGATGAAAGATAAATTAGAGAAGGAAGATGTTGATAGAAAGAGTCCAAATGCTGATCAGACTTATTTATCCATTAGACAGCCCTTTCGTTTTCTTCTCACGGACAATTCATCTTCTAAGCATGGTTTAATGGAGAATGGATTTGTTTCAGACCCATTTAGTCCTGGAGTACTAAGAAATAGACATAAGCGCACTTTGCTTTTGCTGAGGTTAAGCTTAGTTGTAATTGTAATTCTTGCTCTTACTGGATCCTTTTGGTGGACAATCTCAATAACAACTTCATCCAGAGGTCAAGTATATCGAGGGTACAGGCGCCTGCAGCAGCAATTAGTTTCTGACTTGGTTGATGTTGGAAAGCTTTCTCTTGGTTCTACAAGGTTAAAAGATTTGGAGTATTGTTCTCCAGAGTCTGAGAATTATGTTCCTTGCTTCAATGTTTCAGAAAATCTTGCTTTGGGGATTTCCACAGGCGATGAATATGACCGCCACTGTGGGCCAAGTTCCAGACAAAGTTGTTTGGTTCTTCCACCTGTCAATTACAAGATTCCGCTCCGGTGGCCTTGGGGAAGAGATCTTATCTGGGTGGCAAATATAAATATTACTGCACAGGAGGTTCGATCCTCTGGAAGTTTGACCAAAAGGTGGGGTAAAATGAAATGCTGGTCTCTTTTATTGAGAGAAAAGAACATTTGTTTATGTTGGAGGCCTGAATTTTATTTAGTTATTCTAACAGTGTCAAACCACTTCAGGATGATGATGTATGATGAAGATCAAATATCCTTTCGTTCGGCATCTCCTGGGTATGATGACATGGAAGATTATGCTCACCAAATTGCTGAAATGGTTGGGCTAAGAAATGAATCCAACTTCATACAATCTGGAGTAAGTGATTGTGGCTTAATGTGGTCTTAATCTTAATTACCTTGCTATAGGTTTCGTCACCTTTGGCTAGATGAAAATTTAGTTTTATTTATCATTCTACCTCTTGAAAGTTCCATCTAGCATGATCTTACTATTGGAGCATTGCATTGGCTGTTTTGCTTGGATTGCTTTTATGTAGCTAATATTTATCCTTACCTGGAATCTGCCAGTTGATGGCACATAATTCTCAATGAGATCAAGTTTCCAAATGGCTTTTTAGTGTGACCATTATATGTGTTTCCATAAATTGCAAAAGACCTGTCTATTTTCCAATTCCTGCATACTTTGCTTTGTGCTAGTTTTTTGTTAGGCTGTTAGCTTACCTCCCTTGGAACAAATTTGAAGTACTCCTCTGTATTTGCTGGTTTTGCATAGCTGTTGCATACATTGGTCTCATGGACATCAGATGCAGTTACTTTATTCACCATGGTTGTTTTGTTCTGATGGAAGTGCTCTTCATTAGAATTTTGCTTTGTGTTGTTTTTCTGTATTGAATCAGTTTAGATTTAGCTCAGCTAGATAAAGCTGTTCTAACCCAAACAATACTCTGATCTAAGGTCCTGGAATTTGGGTTGTTCTTCTTATGTGAATTATGAATGTAGCAAATAGCTTCTAGTGGTGCCAGAATTGTTGGTTATTTTTGTTCCATCTTGGTATGCGAAAAATTTAGCTTCATGGTAAATGTTCTTCACTTTCAGGTTCGAACTATATTGGACATAGGCTGTGGCTATGGTAACCTTGGGGCACATCTTTTTTCCTATGAATTGTTGACAATGTGCATTGCAAATTATGAAGCTTCTGGCAGTCAAGTTCAGCTCACCCTGGAAAGAGGTCTTCCTGCAATGATTAGTTCATTTACTTCAAAACAGTTGCCGTATCCATCTCTTTCTTTTGACATGATACACTGTGCGGGATGTGGCATTGATTGGGATCAGAAAGGTAGGCTTCATGATGTTGGTCCTTCTCTCCTGCATGTTCTTCCTACATCATGCTAAACCTTTTGTTTTTACAACATCAAGATAACTCCTTGTGTGTTCATCGGGGACTTTTAGGTTATTAAAGTTATGGAATGGATATGCTGAAGATATCTTGGAACAGTATTGTGTCAACAATACATACTAGGAAAGAGTTCCAGAGTAGTCAAATGAAGGATTATTGTAACAAAGGAACACAATGTTGGACTGCTAGTAGAAAGATGTTTGAAAAACATTCTTGATAGACGTAGCATTGTAACTTTTTATTTTTTGCAGTTCAGAAAGCAAACATTGCTACAAGCTCCACTTTAGTGAAAGCACTGTTCATCAATTGAGTCAAAAGTTTCCATGGTTGCTGCTTGTCTTTTGCTGTCTAGATGTAGAAAATACTATATACTAACTTGAGAAAGAGAATGAAGCTTTTCACTTATGTCTGATGACTTGAGCGTCTTAAACATGTCCTTCTCAAAGGCTGACCCTCTTTATCTTAGAAAACATATGACAGTCACTGGATAGTGACAATCAGCCCTGGAATAACTTCTGAGGTGGCAAGAATTCCCATTATTATCGGCAGTACACTAACGTATGAATGCATGAGTTAATACAAATTGGATAGTGCAGTAGTGATCTCTGTGGAAATTAATTGCTTCATTGCAAAAGTTATTTGACATCATGATCAGTTGAATTTTGGCTTCCAATTTTCATTTTTTTCTTTTTACTTGAGAATATTTTCACATATTTAGTAGATATGGGGTAGCTGCAGCTTTTCTGCTTCTCTTGTTCTAAACTATATATAGGTGAGCTTAGTTGATGCTGCTGATTTTCCGGCTTGACTGTTGAAGGCTGGTATAAATATCTAAAAAGTAGTAAATGATTTTGACAGCAGACTGGTACTTGAGGTTTATTCATGTTGTTTAGCAGTATTCTCGGCCATCAAAATTCCAATCTTCTTTTTGGAGCTTAGATTGATAGATACTGAAATTGAATCTAAAAGCAACAGAAGTTTTAGATTGGCAAGAATCACTTAATTTGCTAAGATGTCTGACCTGAGCAGAGCGTACTATATATCTTTCATTACCTGTCCTGTAGTGTGAACTCCAGATATTTGCAATCTACAGTTGATCAAGTAGAATGTATGCCCCCTTTGATTCATTTGGCCATTGCCCTTCTGGAATTCTCCAGTACATAATTAGAGTCCTTCAAAGGTTCCAAATTACCATCTTTCAAACAGTTCCCTGTTATACGAAGAGTGTTACTTACTGTTACATGCTTGTTATTGTGTGGTGCAGATGGTATTCTTTTAGTTGAAGTTGATAGGGTTTTAAGGCCTGGTGGATATTTTGTCTGGACTTCGCAACTGACAAGTTCTCAGCAGTACCTTCGCAAAAAAGAGAACCAGAAAGAATGGAACTTTGTGCATGGTTTTGCAAAAAATCTCTGCTGGGATATGTTGTCACAGCAAGTTGACACTGTTGTTTGGAAAAAGACTAGTAAAAAGAACTGTTATTCTACTAGGTAAGGCATCAATACATTACACTTACATAATTTAACTGTTATGCTACTACGTAAGAAATCAATGCAAGTACACTTGCATAATTGTTTATTTATTTATTTTTTCAACTTATGAGCTTTGTTCACCAAAGATATCAATTTTACAGTGTGTAAGTGTGGATTCAACTGATGGTTGTGGATTTGTGGGATTGCTTTTGTTTCCAGGAAATCTGGTTCTGGTCCCTCTCTCTGCAACAGGGGCCGTGATGTTGAATCCCCCTATTATCGACCGCTTCAGGGATGTATTGGAGGGACTCAGAGCCGGCGATGGATTCCTATTGCAGAAAGGACTAAATGGCCAGCAAGGACTAGATTAAACTCAAATGAACTTGCAATTCATGGTAAGATTATAATCATTTACTACCTGCTTAATCCAACCATTATTGAAGCAGTTTGCAACCATTAAAATGATGTAAAGTGCATGAAAACAGTCAAGGTTGTTCATGGCTAATCATTTAAAGGATGTTTAGACTGTATGCCATTTTCGATTTGTAGCCTTCTTTGGAAGATCTTCATATAATCCATTTTGGCTGTATCAGGTTTAAATTCAGATGACTTTGCGGAGGATACGCTCAACTGGAACTCAGCAGTTCGGGATTATTGGTCTCTTCTCTCACCACTAATATTTTCTGATCATCCAAAGAGACCTGGGGATGAAGATCCTTCTCCACCTTTTAACATGGTTAGAAATGTGTTGGACATGAATGCTCACTTTGGTGGATTCAATGCTGCATTACTAGAAGCCAAGAAATCTGTGTGGGTCATGAATGTGATTCCCACAACTGGAAACAACCACCTTCCTTTAATTCTGGATAGGGGATTTGTTGGTGTTTTACATGACTGGTAATTTCTACTCCCCTTCTCTTGGGCAGCAATTATTTCCCTCTTTTACTTGTTGATTTGTCAGTTGCATGCAGAGTGAACACAAAGATGATCATTGAATTATCGTACAGTTTAGTTGCGACTTCTATTATGCATTGGTGGAAAGAGGAAACCCTTTCAATTGCATATTCAATATAACCCGATGACTTCTTAGACATTGGATTTCCTAGCAAATTGATATTTGCAGCTTACCCTGAAATTTTATACTTGCAGTTAATCCTCAAATGTTCTTCTTGCCCATTTGTATTTCGCCTTCTTGTTGTAGTCCTTAATGCAAGGAGAGGATTCCATAACAGAATGTTGGACAGATACCTAGTTGCTTGTGCGGTACTAGTGATAGTAGAAATTTTGACGTCCTCTCAAGTCTCACATGACTAAGACTTCAAAATTTTGGTTCAGGAGCTCTTATTATTCTTCTCCTAGTCAATACACTATCATGCTTCTTCCTAAGTTCTGTGATTTACTTATTATGTTCTTTGTCCTCAAGGTGTGAAGCATTCCCGACATACCCAAGAACTTATGACCTTGTGCATGGAGATGGACTTTTGTCACTCGAATTTGGTGAGAAGCGAAGATGTGAAATGCTAGATGTGTTCATCGAGATGGATCGTATACTTCGTCCAGAGGTACGTCTCTCTATGACTATATTTCCTTGTTATACAAACTATTATAGCAGCGATAGAAATTGAATTGTAGCTGATATTGGCACTCGGTTTAAATAGCAGTCACCTTGACCTTTCTAATTATGCGAGTTTCCAGTGGATAATTAGTTTCATACGTTAGCTTTCAAGTCTACTAGTAAACATTCTGAGATCGAGGGGTTTTTATCCATTATTTTCTAGGATGCTCTATGGGCTTTTTAGTTTATTTACAAGGACTTTCTATAACTAATTCATTGGGTAACCAGTAATCTGCTTGGTTTGTAAATGCAATTGCGATTAGGTCTAGGCTTTTAACATGCATTTCCTGACATTAGCTAATCTAGATGGCTGTGATGCAGGGTTGGGTTATACTACGAGACACGGCTACCCTAATCGAGTCTGCAAGAACTCTCACCACACTCTTGAAATGGGATGCACGTGTGGTAGAGGTTGACAACAACAGTGATGAGCGACTCCTAATCTGCCAGAAAGCTTTTGTAAAGAGGCCGGCAATGTAATTCAGGATTGGCAAGAAGCCAACGTTCATAGACGAACCTTGAGACAAAGTTATGTTCGTCGTAAAGTTCTACAAGAATTGTGGTAGAGTTCCACAGAGTTGGTGGAATTGAAAGTTTTGATTAGAAAAAACAGAATGCAGTAAAAGCAGGAACAATTTTTCTGCTTAGGAGGGAGGAACCACAGGTCCTCAAAATCCTATGGAGCCGTAAGGTAAACATAGGGCCATGTAATTACACAGCCTGAGGCACAGCATGTTCAGAGAAGTATAGGGATATACTTAAAAAAAAATTTCTTTGTGATGTCTCATTTCATCCATACAACCACATTGATAAAATTATAATGTGAAGATTTGCAGAATAAGCAAAGTTGATTTTTTCAGTCATTGTATAGTATGCCCAGCTGCTCCGTTCGCTTGACATCATTCTTTCATTTGGTTTGGACATTCTTTTCCTTTGCTAAATGTATTCACTCGAATGTCTTGTCTTGGTGAAAAGTTTTATACTATCAATTTGCTCTGGTCCCTCTATCTTATTTTGAGGCCTTTGCCACTGAAGAAAAATTTCAAAGGAACGCTTCTTTGCATGGAAATAAATTCTTTCTGTTTGGGCGGAGTAGTGGTGGTTATTGGATATCAATTCAAGTCCCATTAGAAGCGCAAAGCTTTTACAGCTGAACAGTAGGGTTGCAAACAAGCTAAGTTGAGTCGAGTTTTGGCTTAATCGAGTTGAGTCTTGATTTAATTTTATCGGGTTCGAGTTTGATGAGTTGATAATTTAAAACTCGAGCTCGAGTTCAATTTGATTCAAGTCGAGCAAGAGCTCGAAAAAAATAAAAAATAATTATTTTATTTTTAAAAAATAAATAAAATAATTATTTTTTCTTAATAAATAATAAAATATTAAGAATATATATATAATTTTACTATTAAAATAAAAAAATATACTTAAAATTAAAAAAAATGTATATATATATATATATATATATATATATATCTACTCGAGCTCGCGAGCTAACGAGTTTAATATTTTGAGTTCGATTGTGACTCGAGCCAACTCGAGTTTGACTCGAACCGCTCGCAAGTCGATTCGTTTGCAGCCTTACTGAAGAGTACTCTAATCTATTTCTACATTTTTTCATAAAATTCTATTAATTACTTGCGCTCGCAAGCCAAATAACGTTAATGAAACTCCTCTCAACCATTTTGATTTATGTAGACCAAAGTTCTCCTATATTGCATTGCATATACAATTATTTAATCCATTTTTGTCTCGTTTTAATTGGAAAAGAAAAAAAAAAAAAAAGAAAAAACACCCTCCTAGATTCCATTGCTCATGCAATAATTTGGGTTTTTAAGGTTAATCAAATTTTAGAGGTCCCATGGCACATCCTGTTTAATTTTTATTTTGAGATTCCAAAGACTTGCAAAAATCTTTTTCTTTTTAAATTTTTCCAACAATTGAGGGATGAAATTTGAAAAGTGGGGAGCGAGAGTGAGATTTGAGCCGAGAACATTTGAAGCAACTTGCAAAAATCTTTATTTAACCACCATAGTGGGGATTACTGGTCAGAGAGTTGAACTTCCGCCTGATAGATCAGGGTTTAAATCCTGACTAACAAATTTTAGGTAGGGAGAGAATAAGGGAACAGGTATAAAAAAAAAAAAGGGATCTTTAGCCATGATACTTGGGAAAATCCCCAAATTTGTCTTTATTTAAACTAAGTTGCTGATGAGTTTGCCCAGAATGCAAATTTGAAAACAAATACTGGAGGAGTGGATAGATAAGCCACCTTGGGGGTGTTTGGAACCCAAGTTTTAGAGCAAGTTTGTTTGCTACTAGTTTTTATACAACTTTTGCTACAGGAACCCAAAAAACTTCCAAAAAACTTTTCACTCCCTTGTTAAACTTTCAGCAAAACGACGTCGTTTTGTCGCATCTTTTGTTTTGAAACCCCAAAACACTTTGCCCGACAGAAGTGGTACCCTCCTATACGCAAAGACTTTCCTCGATTTTGAGCTCACGGAAGCGGTGCCTATACAGCGGGTTAGCGGGCTCACCTGAGCAATTCGGCCATAGGACGTGGAGTGATCGGAGCTTGGAGTGAGGCGTGAGGGTTGGTGCTGCAGCTCTGTATTGCAACAGTGTAGACGCGTGAGAAGCTAGGGCTCGACGTTCGGCGAAGAACAAATTCATCCCCTCCCCCGCAACTGCTCCTCCTCCGACAAACGGCTGTGCCAGTCCGTTTGCCACAATTCTGCTGTGCTTCCATTTAGGTAAGTTTCCTTCAGCCAGTAGCTTAGATTTGAGGAAGGCACGCATCGATTTTTTGCCTCTGAAACCGCGGCATTCCAGAAGCAATTTTTGGGATTTTTTTTTTGTTGATTAGTCACTTTGTATGGCGTGCTGCGCTAATTGATTCTTTATTGTTTTGGTATTAAATAAGCCAACATTTGGAGAAAGGCTGAGTTAATTGGGACGCGGGGCTGGAGTGGTTGTCAGAACAACCGCTCCGGAAGGTGTAACACACCATTTGTACATGGTGATGTTGACAACCGCTCCGGAAGGTGTAACACCATTTGTACATGGTGTAACATCATCTGTACAAGGTGTAACAATTGAACAACAGCGAATAAGACAACCGCTCCGGAAGGTGTAACACACCATTTGTACATGGTGATGTTGACAACCGCTCCGGAAGGTGTAACACCATTTGTACATGGTGTAATATCATCTGTACAAGGTGTAACAATTGAACAACAGCGAGTAAAATAAAACAACATTTTTGTGGGTCCCACACGGCGTGAAAATCGAGTTACAAGACGTGATCTGAGCCGCACAAATTTTTGAGTACTTGGTCCAAGCCGTGAACTGCCTGGGACGGTTGTCTCTGACAACCGTCCAGGCCCCTCGTCCAGTTAATTGCCCTCCATTGGAATGTTACACTTGGTCTCAAGTTTGGACAGAGGGTAAAGCTCTGTGTTGATTAATTTGGGTAATGTGTTAATTAATTCTTTAACATTGGTCTGTGAGAATTAATTTGGGTGCTGCGTTGATTAAAGGTTTTTCACATAATTGATTGCTCTGTGTTGCTCTGTTGCTCCGGGCCAAGATTGAGCAAGTATTTGAAGGAGTTTTAAAGGCTTTGATTGGTCTTGGTGGGATATGAGGTTCAGCTGAGGAGTCCCTTGGGTTACTTGTTCTTGTTATTCTTGCTGTCTTTGCTATTGTTGAAAGCGTTTATTTTGCTTGATTGGTGAATTTCCCGGCAATTGTGAGGTTTTGGAAATAGTTTTTCTTTTTTAAGATTAGTTTGACAATATTAAGTTTGATAAAGACAAGCCTTGGACAATGATTTTTTAGACGAATGAACTTGAATAATGAGATTGCCAATGGATAATGAATTTAATTGTTTGTGTGTAAATTTAAAAGAATTTAGGTACATTAATGAAGTCCTAATAGTACTGAATAAAAAAAATTCATTTTTTATGATTGAAATTTCTTGGAGACTAATAACTAAGAAAAACAAATTTTTAATAGAGTTCTGATTTTTCTAATTAGTTTCGAAGCGCTTGATACACACTTTCCATCAGTAGTGTATACTCCTGCTTGTTGTCGCTCCTTCTATTTACTTTGAAAAAAATAGAAGGGTTGAGGTCCCAATTAAACGAGGGCGTTGATTAGGCAAACTATTTATTTTACCTAACTATTTATTATACCTAAATCAATCAATTATTTCTTGCTCTGTAATAAGAACGCAAAGGGTAGATAGGGATGCCAATTTGAAGATGAGTTGGTGAACTATACAAGCCACCACGTTCCTATCTACCTATGAAATTTGCATACTCACTTGAGTATCCTTCAACTTACATCCTTTAGTTTTTACTAGTATCATTTATTTGCAATGTGGTGACTGGTATAACTTCAGAACACTCGCCCAAACTAGAAATCATTTATTTCTCAGTGTCTTGTTTAATTTATTTATTATTTACTATAATTATTTATGTTTCTTGGGTTTGCAACCCAAACTAGAAGGATTCCTTTCTAAAGACTTTTCACTTAAATTGTGTGCTTATTGAGGCTTTGACAAATTAATTCATGAGTAGTAGTAAAGTTTTCATGCCTTCATGATTTAGGTGAAATAGGGAGTTAGCGGAATTAGTTCAAATTCTACTGTTTGCTTAGTAAAGTGGATGGTTTTTCATTTATTCCTTGCATGTTTTTTTCTGTTCTATATAGAGGTTGGTAATTTTGCTGCATTCTAATTAATTTGAGATATAGTTTGACAAAAAAAAATTAATTTGAGATATAGGCATACATTCATTCTTACATTGTTAACGGGTTTATGCCGCCGCGCACTAGATCCATTTCTAGAGGTTTGTTTCGGGGTATTTTGACTTTCACTTGCATGTATTTTTTTGGTAGCTTTTGCTAAGGACTAATTTTCACTTTAATTCACAGTCGGAAAACTCAAACTTCCTGTTTCTGTTACGACTGCTTGGTCCGAGTGTGGAGAGAACGATTTACAGCTTTGCATCACCAATTAATATGGATGACGGAGGTACCGAGGGAGCTCAAATGCCACAATTACACGTCACTCCAGAAGCACTCCATGATTGGAAGGAATACCGAAATGCAATGGCTGATCACATGTACCTTCACCGAAATGAGTAGTATATGGTTGCCACGCTTGATTTCCACGGGCCCGAACTTGCTCTCAATTGTATAATATGACACTTTTTTTTTGAATATTTGGGATGAATATTTGGTACTGTAAAATTTAAGCCTTCTGGTCAATGTTGGGTTAACGGATACTGATAAGGGTTTATTTTACGTATTTTTAAATACATTTTATTAGTTAATTTAAGTACATTTTATTATACTCTTTACAATGTTTTGGTATTGTATATCATTTTGGTGTGATTATACATTTATATTATTTGTTTGAGTTATTTTGTTATTTTTCATTTGTACATATTGGACATGGAGGCAAAGATGACCAAATGAAGTGAAAAAGGCGAAGTTGGCTTCTAGGTGGAAAGCAACTTGGCTTCCGGGTTGACAAAAATGTAATCCTAATTTTGATACAGTAATATAGGTCACAATTTTTGGATAAAGGGAAAAAAAAATTAGGGAGGGAAGTTAATATTTAACACCTAAAAAAAATTTTGTTAAAAAATTTAAAAAATCGGTACAGTAAAGTTTTTAGAAAACTATCAGTAAAAAGTTTTTTCTACTACTTCTACAGTGATCTACAGTAAAGTTTTAGACAAACTCCCAAAAAACTCAGGTTCCAAACAGGCCCCTTATTTTGTATATCAGCTCCTATTAGCCATCTAACTATTAATAAAATCTATCCAACTAACATAATTAACTTTAATTTGTTTGGTGGAGGCAAGATTTCATAACCGACCTTAGCTCAGTTGGTAGAGCGGAGGACTGTAGTGGTTACATCATACATGGCAATCCTTAGGTCGCTGGTTCGAATCCGGCAGGTCGGACAGAGTCATAT